CACACACACACACACACACACACACACACACACACACACACACGCATGCATAAAGACCAGCAGGGGCTCTCTCCCACCAGCTGCACTGAAAGAGAGGGAGGAGGAAATGGGAAAGAGGAGGGCACTCCTAATAGGCATAACTAAAGCACTCCTAATGAAGGGATCGTGTGTGTGTGTGTGTGTGTGTGTTCAGTTGGGGTTGTGTGTCTGTCTGTGTGACTGTTGTTAGTGTTGATCCTGTTATAAAGTGCTATGGCCCAGAGGGTTGGCCTGATATTAAAGCCCTAAATGATGCTATTTATTATGTCCGGTGTCGGCGCGTGTGTGTGGTACTTTATTGCTTTTCGGCCTCATGTTTTTTTTTGGGGGGGGGGAGGTTGTGGCGTATTGTCAGGATCGATGGCTTCTGAGCAGGTCACGAAATTTAGGGGTTTATCGATAATCATCACAGTGATTATTAGTCTCTGCGGCCAGTGCTCAGAGCAATAGAGCAACAATCACCTGTACTGATTACATAGTTTGTTTGCTTTTTTTTTCTTCTGTGTTCTGAAGAAAAAGTTCAGATGGGATTTCTTGTTCGTAGTGGGCCGTACAGCATCACAGTACAGAGTACTGAAGTTACTAATGTTGTTTTCTCTCATGAGTGTCAGTCAGTGTAGACCGAGCTTCTAATAAAGACTGAGACTGTTAAACACTGACTCATCACAAACCCATTTGACTCTCAGTGGCAGAAAGAAAATCAGAAGAAATCCATAAGAAGTGCAGCATTGTGTTCATTACTGTTGAAAGCTGAATTCATCTTTCACTTCATCAATTTTTAAAAATTTATTTCATTTCTGGTAAATATAGTTGGAGCTTGGTGATGTTTTACTAGGAGTAACCCTTGAAGCACTTCTCTGAACTGAGTGGTTTCGGTCATGTTTTTTTCAGGCCTGCTTGTAGAACAAATGACTGTTTGCATCAGAAGTTAGTGACTCTGCTCTCTGACTCAGCAGCTACGCTTGGAAAAACCCAGAAACTCTTCTTGTGGTTGTCAAGTAACGTTTTTATTGAGTTGTGTGTGTATCTATACAGGGTGTGCAGAATTATTAGGCAAATGAGTATTTTGTCCACATCATCCTCTTCATGCATGTTGTCTTACTCCAAGCTGTATAGGCTCGAAAGCCTACTACCAATTAAGCATATTAGGTGATGTGCATACTCTGTAATGAGAAGGGGTGTGGTCTAATGACATCAACACCCTATATCAGGTGTGCATAATTATTAGGCAACGTCCTTTCCTTTGGCAAAATGGGTCAAAAGAAGGACTTGACAGGCTCAGAAAAGTCAAAAATAGTGAGATATCTTGCAGAGGGATGCAGCAGTCTCAAAATTGCAAAGCTTCTGAAGCGTGATCATCGAACAATCAAGCGTTTCATTCAAAATAGTCAACAGGGTCGCAAGAAGCGTGTGGAAAAACCAAGGCGCAAAATAACTGCCCATGAACTGAGAAAAGTCAAGCGTGCAGCTGCCAAGATGCCATTTGCCACCAGTTTGGCCATATTTCAGAGCTGCAACATCACTGGAGTGCCCAAAAGCACAAGGTGTGCAATACTCAGAGACATGGCCAAGGTAAGAAAGGCTGAAAGACGACCACCACTGAACAAGACACACAAGCTGAAACGTCAAGAGCCAGGGCCTATGTTGGAGAGGTTGTGGAACCCCCATGGCAAACCATTTTCATGTCTTCTGGGCCTGCCCAAGGATCCAGCCATATTGGGGGGAGGTGGCCCTTGAGATATACAAAATAATTGGGATTAAAATAGTCTATTCATTTGATACGTTGTATCTTGGCAAATTGCCTACGGCACTCCCACATAAAGATAATTATTTATTGAAAATACTTTTGGCTGGCTGCAGGAAGGCCATAACCCGAAGATGGCAAAAGGCAGACCCTCCAACTAGGGCCCAATGGCGTGGGGTAGTGGAAGAAATTTTTGGAATGGAAAGACTTACCTTTGCCCTTAGACTCGAGCTTGAGAAATTTAAGAAGCTCTGGGAAAAATGGGTTGTGTACTCCCTTTGTACTGAATAATTGAATATTACCATGATGTAAGAAGATGCTATTACTGGAATTGTGTATGTCTCCTATGCTGACCGTAAGTTTTGTATTCTCATACTGTAAACTGACAAATAAAAAGTTATAAAAAAAAAAAAGACTGGGCCAAGAAATATCTCAAGACTGGTTTTTCTAAGGTTTTATGGACTGATGAAATGAGAGTGAGTCTTGATGGGCCAGATGGATGGGCCCGTGGCTGGATTGGTAAAGGGCAGAGAGCTCCAGTCCGACTCAGACGCCAGCAAGGTGGAGGTGGAGTACTGGTTTGGGCTGGTATCATCAAAGATGAGCTTGTGGGGCCTTTTCGGGTTGAGGATGGAGTCAAGCTCAACTCCCAGTCCTACTGCCAGTTTCTGGAAGACACCTTCTTCAAGCAGTGGTACAGGAAGAAGTCTGCATCCTTCAAGAAAAACATGATTTTCATGCAGGACAATGCTCCATCACACGCGTCCAAGTACTCCACAGCGTGGCTGGCAAGAAAGGGTATAAAAGAAGAAAAACTAATGACATGGCCTCCTTGTTCACCTGATCTGAACCCCATTGAGAACCTGTGGTCCATCATCAAATGTGAGATTTACAAGGAGGGAAAACAGTACACCTCTCTGAACAGTGTCTGGGAGGCTGTGGTTGCTGCTGCACGCAATGTTGATGGTGAACAGATCAAAACACTGACAGAATCCATGGATGGCAGGCTTTTGAGTGTCCTTGCAAAGAAAGGTGGCTATATTGGTCGCTGATTTGTTTTTGTTTTGTTTTTGAATGTCAGAAATGTATATTTGTGAATGTGGAGATGTTATATTGGTTTCACTGGTAAAAATAAATAATTGAAATGGGTATATATTTGTTTTTTGTTAAGTTGCCTAATAATTATGCACAGTAATAGTCACCTGCACACACAGATATCCCCCTAAAATAGCTAAAACTAAAAACAAACTAAAAACTACTTCCAAAAACATTCAGCTTTGATATTAATGAGTTTTTTGGGTTCATTGAGAACATGGTTGTTGTTCAATAATAAAATTATTCCTCAAAAATACAACTTGCCTAATAATTCTGCACTCCCTGTATAATATAACAGATGATAGATAGATCTTTTTGATATTTTTGGGTGGCTGAACTAAAGAGTAAAACTTCCTTAAAAAAAGTACTTTCAAATATGTAAAAGTTAACTAAAATTCAAAGTCTAGAAACTTCCAAGTACTGTTTCCAACTCTTTCTGCCCCCCCCTTGAGCTCACGTTTTCGCATTCTGCCCCCCCCCCCTTACTATGTCCTATTCATGATGTCAGAGCAGGTATCTGTAATATGAGCATTTTTGGGTGTGATCACAGCAGCCTCACCCACCTACTATCCAAACCTGATATGAGGGACCGCACCAAATCTAAGACGGTGATTTATGTTTTATTAGTTTATTTTCTGAACTGTGACTGCAAAGCTAGTCCAAGAATAAAAATGTCACTAGAAATGAGTCCAATACATCCACTTTAAATCTGCTACAGTCAAACATGAAAACTCCTCTAAACTAATGACAAATAAACGAAGAGCACAAATTTGATGGAGTAGTCATTCGCCTTAAACAAATCTGAGTCCCAAACTGCTTCCTCCTCTAAAAAGCTGTGTGAGCTGTCTTAACATTTCATTTTCCATCCACATATTATGCCCTGAAACATTCCCACAAAGCAGAGCAGGACATTCACCTATCATAGACCTGAACAACACATTTACACTATTGTGGTCCCTCTTTCTTAAGGTAGGGGTGCTTTTCAAATATTAAATGTTGTACTCTTGTTGTTCATAACCAGGACAATTCAATTAGATATTATGTGGGGTTTTTTGTTTGGTTGTTTTTTTGTTTTTTACACAGTGTTCTTACAGTCACTTGTTCACACGGAGGCATGTGTGTGTTGAGTTTACTCTGGTTAGTGAGTGTTAGCACAGGTCAGGGCAGAAGGCACTGCTAACCACCCGCACTGACAAGCACAGCACTGTTCAGCCCAGGCTGGCACACTTCACTCGTGCTGTGATATTATCTCCTCATTCCTCTGTGAAATGTGTCATCCACTTGATCCTGCTGTGTGTGGGTGTGTTTGTCCCAGTGGCTCCAACCTCCAGCAACCTGCAGTGAGTATGTATAGATCATATATAATAGTCCAGGGTGTTGGTGTGCAGTTGTATGGTTATTGGCACGCGTTGCAGATATGAAACCCCCTACAGAGGCATTGCATCGCCCCTCTGCTTCACTGCAGTGACCTCTGATCCTTGTGACCTGTCACCCCTAGCCCAGCTTTTTCGATTGACGATAGACCCTCCTGCTGAGGGAAGTCTGTGCATATTGTTGTAGTACTAAAATTTTCCCCCCCCTTGAAACCTGTGCTGATTTGGTTTTAGTTTATGTCATTCTCTAACTATAACATTTGTTTGTTCCTGTCATACAGGTGCCAGCCCCCTGCAGACCAATGGTGTGGGACACACAGCACGGGCCTATGCTAAGGAGGGAGAAGTGAGCACTTTGCTGCAGGAGTGGGAGGGCAAGGTATAACACAAAGGATATGCAAAACTGCATAACTGCAAAAAAACCTCCTTTTTGGTTCCCCGATGTGGATTAACAGCAGTTAGGTCATTTAAAAAAAACCAAACAGTGCCATGCTTCCAGATGTAGTTGTTTTCTTTAGCCTGGTGTGAACAGCTCAGCACATTTCTTGCACACAGGCCGACGCTCCACAGGAGGTCCGTGTCAGTCCGCTTTGTGACTGACAGGTGCTTTGAATATTAAAGTTGTGAAAGCTGGTGAAGGTTAACTGGGGTTAAAAACGCGCAACAAAGCTGCGTCATTGATCGGCGCATATCATGACATGAGAGACTGGCTCAAGTGTGTTTAAGCGAGTTTTCTGGTGTATGTATGAAAAAGTCTTGGATGTTTCATAATGTAAAATGGAAGCTCACATCATTTACATCTCTGAATTATCAGAATCGACTTTATTGTTCAAGTATGAGGAGACATACAAGGAAGTGGGGTCTTTTTTTCTTTTCATAAGTGCAAACAGTCAGTTGTGTTAATCTTCCGAAACATGATAATGAAATGTGCTTTACTTGAACTATGACGCATCTCATCGTTGGGATGTTTTTACTCTGACTCCAACAGTGAAGTCAAACTCTTTGGCAAAGGGTTATAAGCTAAATCAGGGGTTGGGTGCACAGAAAGTGCTTATTAGCTCTATGAAAGCCAGTACAGAAACCTGTTCTCCTTTGCCAAATGCTTTCAGGATAGGTCATTTCAGGGTTTTTTTGTCTGTTTTTGTTCTTTAAGACATAATTGTGACGTGAAAAATGTGGTTTGATATTGTTTAGGAAGTTTGGCAGTGCTGAGATTTCATGGCTTCTGCCCGTCACTGCTCAGCTCTTGGTATTTCACAGGTGTGTAGCGGTAGACGTGAGGTCTGGCTTTTTCTTAAATAAAACTCGAGTTATCCGTAGTTATCTACCGACTTGACAGCAGGCTGGAGCTAAGCAAGATGGAGAGAGAGAATAAACAGCCTGGCTCCACTGCAGGGTAAAAACCTGGAGTCTAAGGAGACAAAGAGAGGAGGATAAATGAGTCGTGGGGTGGCTGAGAGAAAGGAGGAGAAACCAGGGGGTGTGAGCAACACTAAAAGAATAGACAGAAGAAGGAGAGGAGGTGGAGAGATCAAGCTAAATCAGCAGAGGAGAGGAAATGGGTGTCAGAGAAATGGAGGTAGTCTGATAAAGAGGAGAGAGACGGGAAAGCAGATAGCTGCTTCGAAGTGGAAAATATGTTTCTAAAGTGTCAGGTGAAGGTAGCGTTACAGTAGTGAGATATGTAAGATGAAAGAAACACATTTTAAATGTTTGATTTCTCACTTAAAGAAGTATGGCTCCTAATCCTTGAAGAATATTGTATTTATTTTGCAGATTTTCTTACATAATTAATTACATAATCACATTTTCGACAATCAGTAATCAGTTCTGTTTATTTACCGAGTAGCTAAATATGAAACTTGGCTGTTTCATATTTGCGATCTAGATAAAGATGTAGATGATAACTTTTCATGTTTGACATTTTTATAATAGCATTTCTATTGGGTTTAATTAAACGTGTAAAGGCTAAAATCATATTTATCCCACAAAGATTTTACAGCCATACACACACAACAGTCTCTGCTGTTAGACTCTTAAATAAGAAATAATTCCACAAAGAAAAACATTCAACCTAGAAATGAAAAAGAAACTGATGTAGTTGTATCTATATGAGATTCTTATTTAGAGGTTTTTTTCAGTTATATTCAGGGATACCAGGTAACGGTAATAGCAGATACTTATTTAACTCCTTGTTAACATAATTATTTGATCAGCCAATCATAACGCGGAAGCTCAATGCCTTTAGCCATGTCAAGACGACCTGCTGAAGTTCAAAATAAGCATCAGGATGAGGAAGAAAGGGGATTTAGGTGACTGTGAATGTGGTGTGGTTGTTGGTGTCAGAGAGGATTGATGGAATTGATGCTCTACTGCGAATTTTTTTTCCACACATACATATTTGGGGTTCAAGTCGTCCAAAAAAGAGAGAATATCCAGTGAGCATCAGCTCTCTGTTAGAAAATACCAAAGGCCAGACTGCTTTGAGCTGATGGGAATGCAAGAGTAACTCAAATAACCATTCTTTACAAGAGAGGCGTGCAGAAGAACATCTATGAATGCACATACGTTGAACCTTAGATTAGATTAGATTAGATAGATTGAAACCCCTTGATGGGCTATAGCAGCAGAATACCAGCCTGGGTGCTGCTAGTGTCTGCTAAGAACAGGAAACTGAGGCTACATTTCACACTGGATCACCAATACAGCAATAGAAAATTAGAAGAACAATGCCTGGTCTGGTTTTCTCAGACCAGACGCAAAAAAGTCTTAAGGAGTTTAATATATTTAATTCATGCTTTCTTAATGAAGATCCCCAAGTTTGCACAAAGGGGAAAATTAATAACACTAACAACGTGAGCAGGAAAAGTGACATGCCCCACTGGCTAGGAGGTGATGATAAAGAGATGGAGAGGGACAGAAGCACAGCCTTTGTTTGTTTAAGAGCTGCTTATTCATTTTCACTCCCTTCTCTTCCGGATTCATTCACTCTCTTCTCCTTTTCTTTATCTCCACCTAGTTTCTGGAGTTACAGGCTCGACGAGAGGCAGAGGAAAGGAGGAGGTTCCCCCTGGAGAGGAGGCTGAAGGAGCACATCATTGGACAGGAGGGGGCCATCAATACGGTGGCTTCAGGTAAACCCGCAGATACTCCTGAGTGAGTAAATACACAAAAATACAAAACATCACTGCCTTTGTTTCACTTTTCTTTGTTTCCTTCAACATATTTACGTCGAGGAGGGCGGCGACTCTTACATCTTTCTCCTGTTCTCCTGCCTTTTCCACCAGCAGTAGGCGGGTTCGTACAGACCTGCGGAGGCTGTAATTGGTTAATTGTGATGAATGAGCTGTCTGTCAGGCATACACAGGTGCTGTGTGCATGTGTGTGTGTGTGTATTTGTTCGTGACAGCTGAAGAGGCCAGGCTTGGAGCCGCCAGTTAACACGATTACAGAGAGAGGAGACATACTACAGACCCCCCCTTCTCCTCCTCCTCCTCGTTTCTCTCCAGCTTTCTGCTCGCCCCCCTCTGTCTCTGTTCTTCTCTTTCTCCATCATCTCTATCTCTGGGTCTCTTGTTTTTGATCTCCATCTCTCTCCTTCACTCTCCTGTCCTTTCCTTCTTCCTCTTTGAAACATTAATGCACCTCCTGAATCTCCACTGTTTGTCCTCAAACACTACTGTTGGGGATGGGCAAACAGATGTAAACAAGAGAGGATGGGATGGGCGAAAGAATAAAAAAAATATAAAACTAAAAGATACAGGGACACGATGGGAGAATACGGGGAAATATCTGAGAACCAGAAAGCTTGTAGCTCTGACAGAAAGACAGAGAGTGTGTTTAGTGCTTAGAGGAAGGGAGGGAGGATGAGTTAGAGCACAATAACACAACCGACAGTAAAGAGCTGATATTACACCAGGCATCCATGGAGGCCATGTACTGTATTGATCTGCAGATGAGTTTGTGGGAGGGGGGGTTGTGAAAGGGTTCTGCAGCAGGGAGAGAGGCTGTGTGTTATTTTTATGATGTTGGACATTTTCTGTTTTAGATTTGTGAAAATAATTAACTCATTCCCAAAGCTAGAAACTGATATTACAGTCTATAACACATTGGAGAGAGCAAATACTGCAGAGTTTATAACCAACAAGGGAACAACTTTCATCCCTCTCCAGACCTCCGTAACTCTAATACTTCATCAAAAAAACAACACAAACTACAGATATGAGACAAACTACAGAGCTGTCTGTAAAACTAAAGACAGTAGTTGTTACAAGTGTCAGAAGGGAAGGATAGTCGTGGGACTTGTAGTCTTTGGCAAGGCGATGAATGACTGTTGTTATCGCGAAAGCCGTACAAGACATCACCACAGAGAAATAGGAACAGCTTATTGATCTGTGTAGTGATTGATCTGTGTATTGTAGTGACTATATATCACACAACCCCACACACAGGGAAAAAAACACTCAGAGGCAGATACAGAACCTACTAGAGCACACACGATCTCGTGTGCAGCTACAGTTTGTAAAGGTGAGCTGAGCAGAAATCAGTCAAACTCTTGCCAGGAGGAGGGAAGTAGATATTTAGAGATGAGGAGATGACTCAGGAAAGAGAGATGCACTGCAGATAAGAAGATAAATGGGAGAAGGATGTAGAGATAAAGAGTGACCAGGCTATGTGTCTGCAAATACACGCCATATCCAACATTTTAATGCGCAATTACTGGTTAAAAATGTAGAACTTTCATGATTAATCAGAAGGCAATTTTAGGATTAACCCATTTCTGTATTACTGTAGTACATCATCATGGTAACCTATGATGCAAACCTAACCTGCACTGGAACGAGTTATGCTCATGATTAGTGATCAACAGTTTCAACAAGCTTCAAATGGGCTAAACTTTATTGATATAGTAAATCTTGTCCAGTCTTGCTTAAAGATCAACACACACACATTCGTGCAGCACTTTTAGTACTAAACCACTGTGCAGTACTTTTCCTGTTACACGCTCATTCGGCTGGTCTGTCTGTAGCAGCTGTGCTGCTCTTAGTCTTCTTATATTTTTCACATATTAGTTTTATCTCCCTTTTTGTAAAAATCTGCTGCCAGAGCACAACTCCATGTTTCTGGTTAGTCATACACTGCTAATAGTGGTGTATCAAGTGTTTGTCGTGAGACTGGGATAGGCTGGGTTACCTTATTGAGTTGATAACCACCGTGTGACTGCTTCGCCTGAGTAAGTGAAGCCTGATAATGGGAGGATATCCCGGGTGCGTTGGACTTGCTTCGTAGAAGTGATTGAACTGTTCCAGCCAGAAACCTTTGTATATCGTTCCCATTTTAAAAATATTATAACTAAAGAAAAAATGACAAAGATAACTTTAAACTTCCGACTCTATGATATAATTATGTGAAACACACAAAAAAGAAACTGGAACATATTTATCTGTTTATTGTTTTTGTTTTTTCCTACCTGCTCATCCTCTTCTTTTTGTTTCAGCTCAAGTTATCTTGTTGCACTGTAACATTTCAGTAGTAAAAGGGGAAGAAAAGTTTGGCAGTTTGATAGATGAACTGATTATTTTTTTGCAAAATTTTGCAGCTCAAAAATTGAAGAAAAACCGAGACGTGGTTTTCTTTCCCTTTTTTTTTTTTTTCTTTTTTTTTTCTCGATGCGATGTCTTCAAAACGTCTGTTTTCACCTGAACTCCTCATGACGAACAGCTGGCCTGCAGCAAGACACAAAGTAGAAACACACACACACACACACACACACGCACACACACACACACACACACACACACACAGGAAGGAGGTTAGATTGATCCAGGTTTAGCTCTCAGGGCTAAGAGTTATTGAAGAGAATCATCCCTCTGTAATCATGTTAGAGCCAACCAGACCTGCCCAATACACACTGTGCTGAGAGTGTGTGCGTGTGTGTGTGTATGCATGTGAGAGAGAGAGACTGAGTGAGAGAGCTTTCATTTGTTTTGTGTCTCCTTCCTTTCCTTGTTGTTGTCAGGGTCCTTTGAGAAATGTCAATGTGCCCTTCTGTCAGAGTCGGTCTCAATCAGCTAAAACACGCACAACCACACAGAAGGTTACGCTGTCATTCACACAGCCATTGATAAAGCAGACGGAGCTTTGGAGCCCCTCTTGTCACTGTTCATCTCTGTGTCCATCTCTGACACACTTGTTTGTTTCTCTCCCTCATTCTCTATCTCCTTATCTCCATCACTCCTCTCTTAACTCCTCTGTATCGTCTTCTACATCTTTACTCCTCTTTCCTCTCCTTATCTGAGTTCCTCCCTCTGCTTCCCTGTGTAGCATCTCTCTCTGCCTCCCCCATTTGGCCCCTCCTCCTCTCCTGCCAAGAATCTGCTTTTTATGATTATTAGCTATTAGTTGCTACTTTAACACTCACATGTCATATCTGTTGTATATTTTCTCAGCTGCAAGAGATTACAACAGCTGAGCAGGAGGGGAGTTGTTATCCTGGTGTAGGAGGACACGAAAAACACGAAACCTAAACATTTGGTCTGTGTTTTTGTCTTGCAGCTGATTAAGATGAGTGTCTTGAACTGCATTGCTCACACTTTTATCCTGGGACTTTGTGGGATTTTACCATAGAGCAGGGGTGTCAAACTCAAATACACAGTGGGCCAAAATTCAAAACTGGAACAAAGTCGCGGGCTAACATTGATGTTTATTGAAAAAAAAAAAATCTTCCTCCAGATATAAGAATGAATCTTTTCTTATGGACTCAAACAAGTTTTGCTGAAAAACTGAATATGGAACAAGCAAAGCTTAATACTAAACTATATATATATATTAGCTGTATAATACCAGTAGGCCAGCTCTAATAATAATTTGGTATGGCTTCGAGGGTCAAATGTAATTAGGCTGCAGGCCAGAGTTTGACACCTATGCCATAGAGGGTGTATAAAAACAACGGACATAGGTCTGAAAGGAAGTGTGTTAAACTTGCATTCTTTCTTATGGCCAGCAGGGGACGACTCTTCAGTGTGCACAAAGAAGTCAGTTTGTATTGGAAGTGATGCCACTGCTCCCATGATTTCTAACCTCAGCTGATTTCTAAGCATATTGCAGATGAGTTACAGTAAAAGAAAAGAATAATAATTGTCAGAATTGTTGCTATGACTGAGTAGGCAGGGTCTTGGGTTTTGACTTACTACCAAAACCAAAAGACATTCCTCTGAACATGGTCAGGTACAAGGACAGAAATGAAAATCTATGAAAAACAGCCGATATCTGAAGACAGCTGAAAAACTGGAGAACTGTTGCTCGAGAACACTAGGAAGCAAAATCTAAAGAAATGAAGGCGGTCTCAAAATGTTTGCACAGTGCCGTATGTGCTACAACACAAAAACCTGTAGTTTCAAATTTCACACTTGACCGAAGTAGCATCACATACGTTGCACTCTACCATCTTAATGTGATTTTGTTTTCATTATATTTACATCCTTTCTTTCAGAGGATAAACTGGCCTCCTGCCACATTATAAAGATAACTGCAGAATTTCTTCTGGCCAAAACTCTACTGAGAGAACTTGAGGTCATATTTGTGATATATCAGGACCTGTGTATCTTTTGTACCCACTTTTTTAAAAAGGTGCTTCAAAGGGCCAACACACTGCGAAGCTGCTCTAAAAAAATGTATTTCCAGTTAGTCTGCATTGTAAGTGACCTAACATCTAAACCAAATGCCACAAAAACACTCAGAACCAAACAAAAAACGAAAAGCCTCAGCTGCTCAGGGGGAACCGAACCGGGACCTTTTTCCTCGGGGCAGGAGTAGTGCTAACCATCGATCCACCGGCTTTGGTCCTGTTGACTCTCTCAACAGGTTCTGACTTGGATGAGTTTGTGCTAGTGTCTGCTTCTTCGTTGAGTGGCTGAAACCACGGCCAAATACACTCTTTACTCCCCTCGAATCCACCTCATCATCTTGTCTTTGTGTATGTGTGCTAGTGTGGTTGCTGGGGTGATGGCAGGGATGGGTAGGCACTCCTCTTTAAGCAGGCCTGTGCGTCCGTGTGTGTGTGAGAGGCTGCGATCTATGCTAAACTGATTTCACCATGGCCGCGCCAGAGAGGCTAACACAATTACCGCTGGCTAATGGCCCCACTGACTGAGGGGGGAGGAGAGGCATCGTGGGTAGTTTTCTGGAGGTCTCTCATCTTGCTCTCTTGCTCTGTTTTCTCTCTTCTTCCTCTTTTTATTTCTTTTTCTTTTTTTTTCCTCCACCAACCGTCTCTGACCCTTTCCTCATCCCTGCTCTCTCACACTTTTATCATAGTTTCTGGGATGCCCGTCGTCCCCGGGGCAGCTTGGTTCAGATGGCTTAAACTTGGCACAAAAGCAAAGTCAACAAATGCAAATAACTGAAATAATGGCTCCCTTTGTTTCTCTCCCTGTCTCTGTGCTCTGTAGCCATCAGGAGAAAGGAGAACGGCTGGTACGATGAAGAACATCCCCTCGTATTCCTCTTCCTGGGCTCATCGGGAATCGGTAATTCACTGTCTCTTCTGTCACACCCAACCCAACGCTTCAGTTCTCAAAGCGTGTGAAAGAAAAACTCTTCAGCCTCCTCGAAGCAGCAGCCAAAATAAACAGACTGCTTGAATACGTTAAGTTTGTTGACGCATGTAGAGTGTACTCAAACAAATTAATTCAGCAGTTTAATTTAATTACGCTGAAAAGAAACAGAGTACAGTGAACTGCGGAAGCACTCGTCACTTTGTAAACTGTAAACACAGATCAGAGCTAGCTTGTATGCAGTAAATGTGTTTGTCATCAGTGTGTCAAGAATGATGCTCAGGAGGATTCATCTGATGGTAAATGTTTAAAATGCCCTGTACAACAGGTTTAATATAAAGGAATAAAGAGAAAGCAATCATTGATTAGCAAATATCTCAGTCAGAAACTCTTGTTGAAAGTTGCTCAACAGAGCTAGTTTGTCACCTAAAGGTTGTCTTGTTCAGGTTTTAAGCCACGTTAAGGATGTAAGGATTGGTGGGTCTGTAGGTTTGTTAGTCCAGGCTCAAATATCTCAAGTTGTTGGATGGATTTCTGTGAAACTGTACAGACAGTCATGTTTCCCAGAGGATGAATCTTTCTCCCTTTACTGATCCCATGACTTTTCCTCCCGTGTCACCATGGCTGTTGTGTCTTGAAGTCCTTGGTATAATGACCAACTCCCCCCCCCCCCCCCCCCCCCCCCCCCCCCCCCCCCCCCCCCCCCCCCCCCCCAACCATAACCAAAAAAACCCCGGCAAAAAAACTTAAGTTTCAGCTGTGCCTTGGTTGATAAAATGATGATTGCATGCTAACATGCTGAACTAAGACAATGAATACAGTAACATTATATGGACAAAAGTATTGAGACTAGGGCTGGGAGATATAACCTAAAATCCGTATTGCGATATAATTTGAAGCATGTGCGGTAACGATATATATCGCGATATATTCTTTTCTTCTGTATAACGTATTTTCCACACTATAAGGCACACTTAAAATCCTTTAATTTTCTCAAAAATCGAGTGTGCCTTATGTATGAATTCTGGTTGTGCTTACTGACCTGAACCGATTTGGGCGTGCAGAAATCTGTTAAAAAATGTTTTGATGGATTGTCAGAGCAGTACGGCTGTAGTGAGGAGCTTCGCGGAGTAATCTGGGTTCAAAACTCCGTCAACTTCAGGTCCCAAAGTCAAACGAACATTGAGAGTTAAAAACAGTCTAAATTCTTTCATCTTTAATAAAATCATCAGCGTTGCTGCTTTAGCAGGTGTAACAATTAAGTTTAACATCCAGGCATCCATGAAAACAGAAGTTATTAAATTTAACGGAGTTAGAAGTTAACAGGAAGTTAGCTTGCTAGTTTCCACCTAAACATGACACACCATGTTCTGACTGAGAGATTTTTGAAACTAATTAAAACGTACAGCTCTGCTACCACTTCCAACATAAATGAAGACAGAAAACTAAACATCAGTGGCGTTTGTAGGGTTACTGAAGTTGGACTACCTGGTATATAATGTTGTGCTACGTGATTGCTAGCGACACAGCTATGTTAGCATAACATTAGCACAGTGAAGCTGGAGGATGGCCAACTTTTGTCCACTGGATAAAAGTTGACGTGAGGGATTCTGGTGGTCAGGGACAAATGCAATTGCATAGCAGGATGCTATACACGGGGCAAACTTCAGTCAGGAGAACAACTGAGATTATTCATCCACAATACAAGGTAGTTATTAATATACTGCAACAACATGGGAACAGAACAGCTACGAGAGAATTCAACATCAATGAATCAATGTTACAGAAGTGGAGAAAGCGCAGTTTTCGGCTTTCCCCATATTTCAAAAGTGCTTCATCTCTTTGCTATGACTGTCGCCAGGCCGCTGCGATGCTTTTGACCAAAACAGGCGCAGCTTGATGACATCATCAACATGCGCTATCGCGATAGAGCGGTATAGTCAAACTCTCTATCATTGGCCAAATTTATATCGTTTCTATCATATATCGTTTATATCGCCCACCCCCAATTGAGACATACTTCTCAATCTTTGAATTCTGGCGCTCACTGTCGCATTGCCTAAGGTTTATAAAATCACACACCTAGCCATGAAGGCTACCTTTACAAACATGAAAGAGCTCACTGAATTCCAGTGTAGTCCTGTAAAAGGATGCCACTTGAGCTCTAAGTGATTTTACTGCAGAGTGGAAGTGTTTAGGAACCACAGCAACTCAGCCATGAAGTGTCAGAGAACATAAAGTTGCAGAGCAGAGTTTCAGAATGCTTAAAAGTCACCGACACTCTGCTGACTCAGTAACGACAGAGCTCCATTAACATCAGCACAAGAACAGTGGACCAGCAGCTCCTCTATTGTAATGTGCAGGTTGTCCAGTATTGGGGTGGCTGTTGCTCAAGAGGTAAAGCAGGTCATCTACTAACTGGACGTTTGGTGGCTTGATCCCCTGGCTGCTCCAGTCTGCAGTTTATCATATCGTGGGCTGTTGTCATGAAACTGACTGATTTGTTTGGAAATGTGACAGGAAACAGCAGTTTGACAGTTTAAAACACAATCAGCTTGATGAGCGCTACAGCTGGCAAATTAGTGCATGGGTGGGACTGACGGTGTCATCAGGCTGTGTGTGATTGTTTAGGCAAAACTGAATCCCCCTGATGAAGAGGACGAAACGTTAGACTGAAGATGGGAACACTGTTTGGCACTGTTTAGCTAACAAACTCATTTTGAGTTGGGCAGTTTTGATATGTGGATGGCAACTTTGAGCTCCTGAAGAGGGATGGTGAGCAGATTTGGTAGTAATGTAAATATTCATGCGAAGTAATAGACTCCACCAACTGTACCAGTACCACAGTCTTTATCAGTTAGTACCTGTCTTTGCATGTTAAAGTTTCATTAGCACTGGGATGCCAGGACATTTTTATATCTGCATAATAAAGTCCCATCAAATTTCCAGTCCTTTGTTTACTGTAACCCATCCACCTGCCTGCAAAACACAGCTGGAACGTGTGTGTGTGTGTGTGTGTGTGTGTGTGTGTGTGTGTGTGTGTGTGTGTGTGTGTGTGTGTGTGTGTGTGTGTGTGTGTGTGTGTGTGTGTGTGTGTGAGTGATCAAATCAACAATAGCGAGTCGTGTCAGTTAACGGTATTCACTGGGGATGGTGGGTTGAACTGAGACTGACTGTCTGGACATTTCTGCTGCAGCAGATTCACCCCACTGCTCCTCTATCCATGAACGTCTTGAAATATCCTAGAGGATAAATATTAAAGCAAACCTGTGATGCAGAGTGTAGTGTTTGAGCGGGCCAAAGTATCAAAAACTGGTTCTGCTAATTACAGTTTTTGTGTTAAAGCAGAAAACCTGAGGAGGACATCTACTGAATAAGTGGTTAAATGTCCTCAATCATCAGCAAGATTTGGAAGTGTTTGTGTGTTGGAGTGAAGGCAGTAGGAAGAGAGGGGAGATATTAAGGGCCAGATAGATGGCTAAAAAGAGGGAGATGGTGAAATGACAGGGCAGAGAGATAGATGAGGGAGAGACGGTGTTCATATTCTCTGTTCCCTTCAGCGACAAACAGTGGCCATGAGACATCAATATTAAACACAGCAACAAGACAAACACACAGACACACACAGCCTCGTTCACACACACAATCATCATACCCATATGCATAGCAAACACAAGACATCAATATCACATATGAGCATTTATATGCAGAATATTTTACTGGCAAGCATAATGTGTGCTTCTGGAGAGCTGGAGATGATTGAAAGCTTTGTGGAGGGAGGCACTGGGATTTAGGCCAGCACTTAGCGAAGGAGAGAGATTGTCTTTCTGTCTGAAATGAGTAAGCTTGTTTTCCTGAATTCCTGAAATCTCTGCATGCTGATGTAAAGGCGGAGACTGTATTTTTTTTATTTATTGAGAACAAAGTAATTAAATGGTGAGGGGGAGGGACTGTTCCTGTTGCCTAATGACCAATTAAATGATGCATTTGTTGTGTGTGACGGGTTCAATGATGTGTCTCACAGGAAAGACGGAGTTGGCTAAACAGGTGGCTCGTTACATGCACAAGGACATTAAAAAGGTATGTGACGTAGCAGCGTGCGTATAGATACAAAACGCATGTCAAGAGTCTTAATTTGGTGGAATGAGTTTGATTACAGTGTATGCAGTAGTGCTTCTTTTGGAGGTTAACCCGTCCTGTGATTGCAGGGTTTCATCCGCATGGACATGTCGGAGTTTCAGGAAAAGCATGAGGTAAGGCCTCGTTACACACACACGAAAACACAAAGTATGCACTGAATAAGCCGTGCCACACAAGTTCATTTATTTCAGATGAGAGCAGCTGCTAGCAGCGTCTTCCTGCTGCAGATGCATGGCAGTGATGCATTGGATTAATTCTGTTTATGTAATCGTAATAGATTCATAAACCAAAATTAATGATGTTGGGGGTTTTTTCTTCTCTTTGTGAAACTTTTTGTGATGAATACATTTAATCAGTTTTTCAGAGTTGCATTGTTTTACAGTGTCGTGTTGTCACAGTCACCACAGTGTTTGGACTTTCTCTGCATAGTTTGTGGCAATGAGGAGCTTTATAGATGCTAGAAATCGAAGGTCTTTTGATATTCAGAAAAGCTGCGTCAGATGCATAAGTGAAACACTGAACACAGCAGGCTGGTGATTACAGCTGCAAAGATTATTATGAACATGTTCGGATAATTTGTAATGGGTAAAATGTTTGAGATTTTCATGGCTAGGATCAGAGCTTGGGGGCTGACATGGACTCTACCATGAAAGGCCCTCTTATATTAAAGGCAGCAGCTCTGCTTTACCTCATTTGAGATAAGTCTATACATTTTCCTGTCATTTGAAATAATGTTCAACAAAATTGGTTACTGAAGTGCTTCAGAAAACCTCTTTTGGATGCACTGAAAATGTTCCCGATGCAGCAAACAGGATCATGGTGTGAAGCGTGTGGAAATATTGAATTCTCTGTTGCAGAGGGTTGCTGAGCATCCTTATTTGTTGTGATCCTGATAAAACGAATCAGCTTGTTGTGTTATTTAGACTTATTGTGCATCTTTTCTCTGTCCGCGCTCAGGTGGCAAAGTTCATTGGCTCTCCACCGGGATATGTGGGACATGAAGAAGGCGGTCAGCTGACCAAGCTGTTGAGGGCGTGTCCTAACGCTGTTGTCTTGTTTGATGAAGTGGATAAGGCCCACCCCGATGTCCTCACCATCATGCTGCAGCTCTTTGATGAGGCGAGCACACAGCTTCTTACGTCCATCGTGTGCGTCTCTTTGATAAAACAGAAATAAAGTGAAACTTTTTGATTGGTGGTGTTCTTCTTTCAGGGTCGTCTTACAGACGGTAAAGGAAAGACAATCGAATGCAAAGACGCCATCTTCATCATGACGTCGAACGTCGCAAGTGACGAGATAGCCCAGCATGCATTGCAGCTCCGCCAGGAAGCCGAGCGGGTCAGCCGCAGGAAGCTGGCCGATAACCTCGGTGAGAGAAACGCCCTAACGCGTACATGCAGCCTGGCTAATGTCTTCACACTGATGACACTGTACAATGTGATTATACATTTCCATCTGATGTTGTGTTAAACGAACACAGAAATTAAATTATCTACAAATTAACTTTGTCATGTTGCAGTTAATTTTCTCATTCTTGCAAAATAAAGGAACATTGTAGCACTGTGATAACAGCTTTCAGATGATTAAAAACCAGAAATGACATTATTGCTCATCTCCTCCTTTTCCTCCAGAGGACGTACAGAAAAGTGATGACATTAAAATCTCCAGACAGTTTAAAGAATCTGTGATTCGACCAATCCTGAAGGTAAAACACATGATGCACACAAATACATAAAAACCGTCTTGTTTGGTGTAGCTGCAGACATGCCTGGCTTTGAGACGCTCATGGGTCTTTTGTTCCTCTGTAGGCTCATTTCCGAAGGGACGAGTTCCTGGGCCGTATCAATGAAATCGTCTACTTCCTGCCATTCTGTCACTCAGAGCTGCTACAGCTGGTCAGCAAAGAGCTCAACTTCTGGGCCAAAAAGGTACGAGAGCACAATCTTTACAGTCATTTTTAGTCTCTCTGCTTCTGAGGTTATAAATAAAGAAATTATGCAAGATCAAGTCCTGCTGAGTCTTAATGCAGGAAACACAGCTTTAAAAATCCTGCCTCGTGAGTCCTTTCATGCTTTCTATTTTAACTGATATTAACAGAGTTTGCTGGCAGCACTGATGGGTTGTTTAAGTGCGCCAGAGGAATGCACATATTTGTTCCAGCTTCCATATTGCTGTTTGGATGCCCACTTTAACAACAAGTGGGCCGATCAGCTGTGTGTGGATCTGAGAGGAGCAGAGGTTGAGTCTCCTCTGGACGCCCGTCTTCACAGCACCACATTTCTAACACGGGTGTCCTCCTGTGGGGACCTGCGAGGCCTCACCCACTTCGTCAGCCGCTGCTGAGCTGTGCAGAAACACACACGGATCAATACTGTGTGCCACTGTTACTCCCTGTAATGTGATTACAGTGTTTAACATGTGGAGCCTTCATCAATATTTAATTATTAATATTACAGCTGGTGTCCTGACAGCAAACATGGGCCCTGCAGGCAACTGATAGGGACCCGACTCATTTCAGTTTCTCTGTTTTGAGTGGTGTTGTAGCTCTTGTGGGTCTGATATTTGGGTCTTCAGTTTTTGAAAGTGTGCATGTCTGGTAATGACTTGTCTCAGTCTGCATCTTGAAGTGATGCAAACAGCAGAAATCTCATTATTACTGAATAATCCCACAAGGCTTTTGTTTGTCGCTCATTTATATTAGACAAATTAAATGTTTAGAGCTTTTATTATTATTGCCTCGCTACATATCGATAGAAAAACATGGCGTCTTATTTATTGATTGAAGTGTTAACATCTGAAGCTAAATGAGCTGCTCTGATCACTACTATTGACCCGCGTTGGATTAAAATGTATTAAGGGCCTGTTGATTAGCGTCAGCAGACATGCTGCTTGACACAGTCTCCTCTCTGCTGCTGTGTCTCTCGCTCGCTCTCTCTTTCCACCCATTTTGACTCTGTTCTTCGTCCTCTCTGACAGATTTGTGTTTTCCTGATATTCTGCAGGTCTCACCCTCGGCCCTATTGTAACATGACTTCCACTCTCTCTCTTTCTCTTGTCAGGCTAAACAGCGGCATGATATCACTCTTCAGTGGGATCGCCCAGTACTGGACCTGTTAGCAGGCGGCTACAACATGCATTATGGAGCTCGTTCCATCAAGCATGAGGTGTGCAGGCACTGTAACATACACACTGGTTTTTAGGAGTAACCCTTGAAGTGGTTTGTCATATTTCAGGCCTCCTTATAGAACAAAATCACAACGGGATTCCTTTCTGCAGGAAAAATCCTGCACATGTAGCGTATAAAGATTTCTAAAAAGCCTGACTTATAAACCTGATCTCCACCTGACCTCTGACTCTGTCACTGATCCATCAGGTTGAGAGGAGAGTAGTCAACCAGTTAGCCGCAGCGTACGAGCAGGAGCTGCTGCCCAAAGGCTGCACGCTGCGTCTGTCTGTCCAATCAGAAGGCCAGAAAGAGCACGGCACGCCCAGCCTGCGCCTCGAAGTGGTTGGAGAGGGCAGCTCATCGAGAACGCTGGACATCCGACCACCACTCAGCCCTGAACACTAACAACAAAGGATTAAAAATGCGAGCATACACTGAACAAAAGAACGTGTTGGATTTACTTCTTTCAGTAGTGGACATTAGATGCACACAGATGTTTTGCTATGGCAGCAACTTAAACAGAGTTAAATTAACACTAGTTATTCGTATTCAATAAACCTGTGCAATGTGCGTTGATAAAATGTGATTGAAACGTTGAAATGTTTTGATGAAGTAATTTGAGCTCTTGGAATATTTTAATCCTCCACAATTTTCTCACTTTATTCAAACACTATTCAATAACTTTAACCAAATACTACATGTTGGTATTATATTCTAGTATGAAATACACAATTTTCCAATGGAGACCTTATAATAGATTGTATTGTTCTCTTCCAAGTTGCCAGTATCCACTAGTAACCTTTCAAAACAAAATGTCTACTTTCACTGCAGGTAAAGCAGGAGTATCAAACTCGTGGCCCAGGGACCACTTGTGGCCCACATCACCCCTACTTGCAGCCCGTATATTGACATGAAGAAATATAATGCAGTTTGGTCCTTGAAGTTACTTTTGTTAGGGAGGATTTGTTTGTTGTTGAGTGCAATGTTAAAATAAGTTCTTTAAAAGCAAAAACGTACTTAATGAAGGCAATATGAGCAGAGAGCACAAACATGTTTACCGATTGACTGTTAGTTCAGTGAGAGAGTAAACTGCAAAGAAAACAATTTTCACTGGCAGTTAAAAACTAATGTGTACACTTATGTCAGCATTTTTATTTTGCTTGTATTTAACAAAATAATAGCAGAAGTGCTGCCACGGGTGTGGCCAGAAAGAGAGTACCAATTTGTTTATTTGATAGTTCAATGAAAGGCTTCAGTTAAGAGTGAGAAGAAAAAAAATTGCGTTCACATTTGCAGTTTTGTCTTTTTATACAATATTTGAAATTTAAAAACACAAAACACTGCATTTTCAGAAATATTTATGGGGGTTTTATACTACTTGAACACTAATGTGGCCCTCCAATAAGATGACAGTGCCCACAGCTCATTTAAGTTTGAGACCCCTGAGGTAAAGAATTGAACTGACATTACTCCTCTACTGAAATACGTCAGTTTTTCAGTGTTTTGTCGAATCAGTCATGGCACAGGATTTAGGCCTTTTCATTTGAAAAATGTTACACGTAACCATCTTGGAAGAGAACAATACAAAAAAATCTGCTTAAGGCCTCTGATGTCAGGATTCAGTTAAACAACAATTATAACTAAACAATTTGACGTAATGTTAGTTTCCATTAACTTTAAAATAGGTTACTGGTTTGGCAAACAACTTCCTGTTAACATTCCCCATTTACCCTAATTACTATATATACACACATATATATAAACACACATACGTACCACTTGCATGTCAAAACCTTTATTCAAGAGCCACAAAATAACAGTGATTGTCAAAGAATTCCAGCACTGATCATATTGTGACATCTTGGTTCAAAACGGCATTCTTAGTAGGATTCAACTTTCTTTACTCCAACTGAATTAAACTGAAAATGCTGTTCCACACAGCCCAGATGGGACTATTTAGACTGTACTACTCTACATCTCTTCACTTGTTTAAAAAAAAAAAAAATATACAAACAAAAATTGAAAAATGCTGCCAATCAGAGAACATTTACAGAGAGAAAAAGGAAAAATGAATGCTGTGATTTGTTCCTGGAAATTGAGTCTCCAAAATGCAGGAGAACAAGTGTGAGATTGTTGCAGTTTTGTCTTTTAAGTTTTGGACTTTTCTCAAGAGTTGAGCTGCATCCAACTCCATGACCACCCTTTGAATCAACCTAAAAGTGTAAGAGAGCTGTGATGGGTAACTCATGTTCAAGGAGTAAAAAAGGCCAAACAGCATGGCTACTGCAAGGGCCACGTTATCCAGATCCTGAAGAACCACCGCACCCTCGATGACGATGCCAACATCAGAGAAGTCATTACCTGTTGCATCTCTGGAGACCTAGATGCCCACTGTTGTTTTCACTCAGTGCAGTGGCCTCAGTCATGTCCTGCATAAAGATGAAACATTTCTTTAAGATTATCTTTTAAACTAATCTCTTTTGAATGCACCAATTCTAATGCTATAGTTATTTAAACCCATGCCAGCCGCATAGTAAATGGCTGTAGCTAAAGAGTTCCCTACGAAGCAGCCATTCATGATCTGGTTCTAAGAGGAAAAGAAAAAAAAAATAGACAACTTGTATTTCAAATGAAGAGCCCTTAAGCTTTACATTAGTTTTTGTTAGAAAGACATTGGCTCACCAGAAAGCCAGGTTATGTCACTCAGAAGATTTTAGATTTTCTGTCAGCTTCACAATTTGGATAGAGCAAGTCTGACTCAGTTGGCCATCCCCCCCAACAAAGCTAATGTAAAGATCGAGTTCTCCTCATTTTTCTTGAAGTTTTTTTTTCGTTCCTGGATGATTTTAATTATCATTATTTTTTCACTTTGTGGCAGAGGCATCAAAACGGATGGTTTTTCCGGCTTCGTAATAGGTGCTATGGAGAAAAAAAAGTAGTGTTTGGACCCCTTGTGTAACAAGTTTAACCTTGTGTTTCAATGTCAGTACTGGAATCACTTCACCAAATTATTAAAGAGGACTACTGTGCCTAACTGGTCCAATGAGGATCATATGGTTAACTGATTGCACTGTGTTCAGTTGCAAAGCCACAATCTACTCATGCAACACTCACCATGAACTCCTGCACCAAGACATCAGGATTGTCATTCAGATAGAGGCAGAGTACATTGATGAGGGACTCCCTTCGAATATCAATGTCATCCTTAAGTATTATAACAAAGAAAACATAGATATGTGAACTCAAAATCTTCAGTAGCACAGAAGAAAATGATCAAAGACAAAAAAAACTGACTTTTTGAACCAGTTAACATGCAACACCAGCATCTACAAAACGCCATTAAAACTACCTGTTTCACATGACCTTTATGAAATGGACTTATATAGTTATAGTTTAGTCATACAGTTTCCAAAACATACAAAAAAGATCAATTTCTCACGCTGGGACAGTAATTGCATGATGTAAATTATGGGGTCCTTTCAGTAGGATCAGTACTCACAGGTAAAAGTTGACCTTTGCAATGGATGCAGCATATAAATCTTTTACTGAGCTAATGTGATGCATATACACTTGGTAGTTAAACAATTTAAAAGTTCTTACTGTCATCATGGCAGTCATATCCTTTAGCTTTTGGGCCTGCTCTCCCAGTTGCTTGACAAACACTCTCAGCAGACTTTCAGAGATGAAGTCAAGCTGTGCCAGAAACCTTGACTGCAAAGGTTGTGATGTGCTTGAACACTGCATTTTATCTAAAACAACATAAAATTATTTTAAAAATAACGACAGGCACTGTGCATGGTTGGTCGGTAATCTTTTGGTGAATAAGAACTGTGTTTCCTGCTCTTGTGGGATTTAAAAGATCCTAAGATGTTTGCAATCCAACAACATACAAGTTACAACCTTATTTTTTTTCAAGTGTGCATTAACGCAAGTCCAGTAATCATCTTTCTGACAATATATGTTCAAGTTAAACGTATGGCAGATTTTGGATTTCACATATGTATAAATAAGGTAGCTGGCCAGTGTGTGTATGTGCCAAATGATTAAAATAAAATCTGTATTATAATTAAGTTACAGAAACCTTAAGAGAAAACACAACGTCCTGTTCTCACCACAACTTGAACCCACGATCCATCAGCTGACTCCAGATGAAATGCGGAATAAAGTTTGTCTCTCAATCTGCAGCAAAAAAATAAATAAATAAATAAATAAATAAACACAAAACAAGGAGGTGGGGGGTAAGCTACCTTAATGCCTCCAGAGACATTAGCTGAGGCTGTTCAATCTCCAAAATCTCACTAACACCACGGTGCAGGTGCAGTTAACACATAATGTAACTGAGCAGTCAGTTGGCAAACCAATTCACACAGAAGATCAAAATATGTTAGGAGGTAAGTTAAATGTGACATTAGGGCTTGCACCAAAAACAAATTAAAATGAAAAAGCGCCAATTCTTTGACAAGAGAGCAAATAAGCTAACGGCACTTATTTAACGTTAACGTTACATAGTGACACTCTAGACATTAAACTAAATTTGACTGAGATTTGGACAATATTCATTCAGAAATTAAGACAGACCAATAAAAGTACCGGTGAGCGGAGATGGCTGCCATCCTCAAGCCACGATCCAGAGTGCAAGAAACAAAATCATGTGCGGTATCACGAGATTTAACATGGCTACATTATTGATTTACTTTTTTTCAGTGTACAGGTGATTTCCACTTCCACATATATTTCTTTTGGCTTTTCAGAACACTGAAAGCTAAAATATTTTGAGATATTGTATGACTGCAAATAGAACCGTGGCTTCAGTCCGGTGTGACGGCGTAACAAGACACATGCCAGGTAAAAAAAACTTTACCCACTAAAATCTCGTTCATTGATTTTTCTAGAGTTAAACACACGATTGAGTGGGGAAGGAATCACAGGAGGCTGACAAAACGCAAATATGCCTAAAATACAAGATAAAAACTTGGTGGGAAAAGCTAACAATGCCACAGTGCAAGCTAATGCTAACACTGGAGCTGACATATCTCCAATTTGCTGAGAGCTATAGAGTCACTCAAGTCGGAACTACAGTTGTCTTCAGTCTTTGATCTGGTGGACCACAGCATTCTGCTAACAAGACTAGAATATTTAGTAGGCATTAAAGGGAACGTCCTTTTCTGTGACCTCTTCCTCTGTTACCCCTTTTCGTTGTGGTGTGCCCCAGGGGTCTGTTCTTGGCCCTATGTTGTTCTCATTGTACATGCTTCCCTTGGGCTCTATATTTGACAAATATAACATTTCTTTTCATTTTTATGCTGATGATATTCAAATCTATTTTTGTCTGACTGACGGTACCCCATCTTCACTACACTGCTTTCTTGATTGTATGAGGGAGGTCAAAAGCTTTTTATCGAGTAACTCCCTTTTTCTAAATGAAAAGAAAACGGAAATTATTGTCTTTGATAGCCACATCCCTCGGGGACAACATCCCTCGGGGACAATTAGCCAATATATTTGGGCCCTTTGCTACCTCCCTCTCTGATACAGTACGTAACTTAGGTGTTCTTTAGGACAGCTCCTTTAAACTTGATAAACAAGTGTCCCTCTGTAGTACAGTCTAGCTTTTAAAAACTACGTCAAATCTCTTAGGCTAGGCATTACATACCGCGAATGGAACTTATACATGCCTTTGTTACTTCAAGATTAGACTACTGTTACTCCCTTTACCTGGGCCTCCAATCTGCCCTTCTTCATGAACAACAACTTGTCCAAAATGCAGCGGCAGCTGGTGCTAGAAGGTTTGATTCTATTATCATGGGGCGATCGTGGCTCAAGAGTTGGGAGTTCGCCTTGTAATCGGAAGGTTGCCGGTTCGAGCCCCGGCTTGGACAGTCTTGGTCGTTGTGTCCTTGGGCAAGACACTTCACCCGTTGCCTACTGGTGGTGGTCAGAGGGCCCGGTGGCGCCAGTGTCCGGCAGCCTCACCTCTGTCAGTGCGCCCCAGGGTGGCTGTGGCTACAATGTAGCTTGCCATCACCAGTGTGTGAATGGGTGGATGACTGGATATGTAAAGCGCTTTGGGTTCCTTAGGGACTAGTAAAGCGCTATATAAATACAGGCCATTTTACCCCTATCCTTGCTGACCTACATTGGCTGCCCATCAAATATCGCAAATAATGTTGAGCCTTGCTATTTAACTGAACTTCTCAACCTGTATACTCCTAGGAGAGCACTTCGATCATCGAGTCAAATGCTCTTAGAGCAACCTAGGTCCTTTATTTGAGTAAATAAAGTAAATAAAATATTGATTGAATTTGGCACCTCCGGCCCGGCTCACCAGAGAGAGTTTCAGCCACTCTCCATACTTTCAGGAGATTGAGGTGATAAATCTGCGTGGCCCCTCCCCTGTCTGACCATGCAATTTCATAGTCAACGTCCCCCAATTCACCGTGTGAGGTGGGGGGTCCTTGCCACTTGGCGAGTAACTTTAAACTAGAAGAAGGGAGTAATACAAGCACTTTGTCTCCTGGTGAAAATTGCTTGAGTCTAGACTCTCTGTTATACAGGTGTTCCTCCCAGTTTTCTTTAATTAGGTTGAGCACCCCAAGCGGTTTAAAGGGAGAAAATCCTGTGGAGGCCTGGGGCACCTCCCACACTGCAAGTAACAGAGGGTCTAGCCAGTGATCGCAATTGTGTTCACCCTCGTGTATGAACTTCCAAATCATGGACTTTAAAGTCTTATTCAGCCGCTCCACCAGCCCATCAGTCTGAGGGTGGTAGATCCTGGTGTGAACAGATTTAATGCCCAGTAATTCATACAATTCCTTCAGTGTGGGAGACATGAACGACGTGCCCTGGTCAGTCAGTATTTCTTTCGGAACACCTACTCGGGAGATGACCTAAAACAGTGCCTGCTCCACACTATTTGCAGAGATGCAGTACGCAGTGGCACTGCTTCCGGGTATTGCATTGCATAATCCACCAGCACTAATACAAAGCGATAGCCACGTGCACTGCGGTGAAATGGCTCAATGAGGTACATGCCAATGCGCTCAAACGGGACCTCCATCAATGTTAGCAGGCGCAAAGGCACTTTTGGAATGGCTGGCTGGTTAACAAGTTGGCATTCCGGACAGGATGCACACCAGCGTTGCACATCCGCTCGGATGCCCAGCTAATAAAAGTGGGCCTTAATTCGCTCCAGATTCTTGTCATATCCCATATGCCCTCCCATGGGTTTTATAGTGAGCCACCTGGAAAATCATTTTCCAGCAGCTTTATGGCACCAACTGGGTGTGTGTATCCTCCGTGCGAGCTCTGGTGCAAAAGGGTCTGTGTAGAGCCCGTGCCCACCAAACCATGGTGTATACCCCCTTGAGTCCTTACCGGAATGCTGTACATCCCTCCCAGACTTGGGAAGGGTGCCGGAGCACTGGTGACACGGAACACCTGTCCCACTTCCATTGGCGGACAGTCCCGCCTCAGGTGTCCTGGCTGCCCGCACTTCCAGCACCCTTGCCCCAGTGTCTCTGCTACTCTCCATGGCTCTGGAGCAGTGCTGATTGCCTCCCCAAGGACCGAAAGCAAAGTGGGAAAAAATGGGTTAGTGGGACTCAGCGCAGGGGCCCGCCCTACCGGTGCGGGCGTGAGGACCCTGCACCTAGGCACTGGCACCTGGGCCTGCCTTCCCTGGGCTCCTCCACTCTAGCAGCCAGGTGGTGTTCTGCCAACGTGACCGCTGCCTCCAGGCTCGTAGGCCAGTGGCACCAGACCCACCTCGCTGTTTCCACCAGCCTCCAATGGTCCAGGCGGCAGCTATCGCGCCGCTGCGTCGTGTAATTTCCGGGCCCACACGAACGGGCGGTCCTCCCCTGTCAGCCTGCAGATCCGGAACCACCGAGGATGATCCTCTGGGGAGAGGCCCATACAGTCCAGCACGGCCCGGCAGATGTCTGGGAAGCTGCTCTGTGAGGTCAGTGGCAGACTCAGGGCAGCCGTCTGAGCCTCCCCTGACAGCAGTGGAAGCAGCACCCACTCTGCAGGAGGTCACTGAAATGCTTTTGCCATGGCCCAGAAGGTCTCCAAGAAGATCTGGGGGTCATCACCGTCCCCCAATACAGAGCATTGCCACCGACAGTGGACATTTGTGCTAAGATTTGCAAAGGCTGGGTGGGCGGCGTGTGGCTCTGACATCCCAATTCCTGGGTTTCGACAAAACTTGGAAAGACAGACTCAACACACTGTCACATTTATGAGTTTTATTGTCACTTTTCACAGGTAGCGTCTCTCCGTTCACAGCCGGTCTCGGGACACACCCCCTCTTCCAGGGTCCGGCTTCACTATAAGAAAAGAAACACCTGATTAACCAGATCAACACCACCTGTGGCCTCATCTGCTTCCACTGGCACTACCTCCTTGAGCTCACTGCACCATCCCTCCCCTGCAGCTGAGCCAGGGACCACACCTCCACCACACCCACTTTAACAGAAAGTGGGCCGATCAGCTGTGTGTGGATCTGAGAGGAGCAGAGGTTGAGTCTCCTCTGGACGCCCGTCTTCACAGCACCACATTTCTAACACGGGTGTCCTCCTGTGGGGACCTGCGAGGCCTCACCCACTTCGTCAGCCGCTGCTGAGCTGTGCAGAAACACACACGGATCAATACTGTGTGCCACTGTTACTCCCTGTAATGTGATTACAGTGTTTAACATGTGGAGCCTTCATCAATATTTAATTATTAATATTACAGCTGGTGTCCTGACAGCAAACATGGGCCCTGCAGGCAACTGATAGGGACCCGACTCATTTCAGTTTCTCTGTTTTGAGTGGTGTTGTAGCTCTTGTGGGTCTGATATTTGGGTCTTCAGTTTTTGAAAGTGTGCATGTCTGGTAATGACTTGTCTCAGTCTGCATCTTGAAGTGATGCAAACAGCAGAAATCTCATTATTACTGAATAATCCCACAAGGCTTTTGTTTGTCGCTCATTTATATTAGACAAATTAAATGTTTAGAGCTTTTATTATTATTGCCTCGCTACATATCGATAGAAAAACATGGCGTCTTATTTATTGATTGAAGTGTTAACATCTGAAGCTAAATGAGCTGCTCTGATCACTACTATTGACCCGCGTTGGATTAAAATGTATTAAGGGCCTGTTGATTAGCGTCAGCAGACATGCTGCTTGACACAGTCTCCTCTCTGCTGCTGTGTCTCTCGCTCGCTCTCTCTTTCCACCCATTTTGACTCTGTTCTTCGTCCTCTCTGACAGATTTGTGTTTTCCTGATATTCTGCAGGTCTCACCCTCGGCCCTATTGTAACATGACTTCCACTCTCTCTCTTTCTCTTGTCAGGCTAAACAGCGGCATGATATCACTCTTCAGTGGGATCGCCCAGTACTGGACCTGTTAGCAGGCGGCTACAACATGCATTATGGAGCTTGTGATTTATGCCATATTTCAGGGCTCCTTGTAGAACAAAATCACGATGATGTGTTAGGGCCACATTAAGAAAAAAATTTAGCGGACCTACTTCTAGGCCAGTTACCCGCAGAAGTAATTGACATTGAGGACATTTACCTGTTTAATGTGACGATAATAGCCTGCGAGAAAGTTATTACAAGGAACTGGCTTCAAAGGGATCCTTTGAGACTGAAGCAATGGCGAGATGTCATGGAGGAAATTTCCACGATGGAAAAAATAACTTATTACTTAAGACTTGAAGCACATCGATTCAAACAACGATGGAAGAAATGGAATCTGTATAAGGCTCGACCAAACACAGACATTCTTTGATGTTTAGGTAGCACCACACAAGTTGTTTACTCTCTTTTTTTTTGCCATTTGTTCTCCCTCACCCCTTAATTTTTTTCTTTTATTCCCTCCATTTATTGTAAATGACTGAGGAAAATGAAAAACTAAAGTAAAAAAAAAAGCGTCAGTTTTGGAGCCTGTTATCGAATCTTTATGGAGGGGAGGAAAAAATAGGGGAAAAAAGGTATTTGTTACATATTAATAACAGCGATGTTCAGATTTTGCCGTGAAGGAGAAAGGATCTATAAACCTGATCTCCACCCGACCCCTGACTCTGTCACTGATCCGTCAGGTTGAGAGGAGAGTCGTCAACCAGTTAGCCACAGCGTACGAGCAGGAGCTGCTGCCTAACGGCTGCACGCCGCGTGTGTCTGTCCAATCGGAAGGCCAGAAAGATGGCACGACAGCCTGTCCTTTGAGGTGGTTGGAGAGGACAGCCAGTGTAGAACACTGGATATTGTATGATTGTTATCGAATCTGTGTGAAAAAAAATAATTAAAAAAACAAACTGATATTTGTGACACATTAATAACAGCAACTTTATTTTCCTGTGAAGGAAAAACGGATAATCAAAGATGATTTGACTGTGTTTTAGCACATTGTTCACATCAGCAGAGGCACGCTGATGAAAATGTAAACACAACCTGCGTAATCTGTTCTCCCCAATGAAGAATGTGCTAGTGGAGAGAGTGCATTTGAAGCATGGTTGATATAACTGGCTTGTAAGTAGTTTCTGTTGATGCATGTTAATGTAAAGAAGTCTATCATAGCTGCGAGCGAGCTCTGGTGCTTTCGTTTGTGTCCCTCTGACATTAAGAGGAATTTAGTCATAAAGAGAAAATATTCAAAGTGTTGCATCATAAATGTTTGAACAGCACGCTGCCAAGGCGCCAAATGTAATCGAGCGACGTTTGTCATTCTTGTATCCGAGTCTCCGCCGTGTAAATAAAGTCATCACAATCAAAAGGGAATTCCTTGCTTTTTTTGTTGTTGTTGTTCCATTTGTGTTGCACTGACACCCCTGATGGATAGATGTGTGTGAGAACCTGGGTGGGAATTCTGCAACAATAATGCTCATCCGCCACGTAAAACGACATGACATAGGAATTTCCTTGGAATTCTGATTCTGTGTGGGGGTCTGCGTCGGACGCTGGGAGGGAATGCAGAAAGAATCTCTCACACATGCACGCCTGCAGGAATGTCTTCTCCATAGGGAGGAATTAGCATGCAGGGAAAAGACACATTCACTCTTACTGTGCTCGGCCTGGACCCCCCAACAACACACACACTATCACTCTCTTTTAGGTACACACAGAGTCACAGCTGTCTGTGAGGAGGAAGTACCTGTGCTGTTTATAAATCAATCCCCTTTAGCCACATCTATACTACAGTCATTTTCTTGATTTAAGTGAATTTTCAACAAGAGTAACACAGAATATTTGCAGCTTCCAGCACTTTTTGTAATCTGTCATACTGGTGCACAAAGATGGAAAGGTGAAGATGTCTCTCTGCGTTTATGCTAAAAATGCACTTATCAAAATAATTTTTTTTCATTTTGTACATTTGTTAAAATCGCCACTGTTTAAAGGCTAAAATGTCTCTTAGAAGCTCTCTGAACTGCCTCTCTGTATACTTTAGGATAGAAGAAATCAAAAGGGCATACAGATTTTAGCTGAAAATTTTGTTGTCACGATTTGGTTGCTTTGACTCCTCAAAAGATTTCGTGTGTGCCTCCTCTGAGCTGAAATAAGGGGGAATATTCTCTCCTCTCTTTGATGCCTTCTTTACCACCCACCTCCCAGTCATTCATCAGTGTGAAGCATGTGGGTTGGTGGGGGAGATACCATACCACTCACGAATCTAAGATTACTCTGTGGTTGTATAAACTGTGGGTTGTGCTAAAAATGAACTGCCAAATGCCTCAAATGTCATCTGCATGAAGCTGATGCCTTTAAACTGTTGACACCCACAGACAAAACAGCAACAGGCCAGCAGAGGTTTTTTTGGTGTTTTTAAGTGAGACTCTTAAAGTGGCTTCATCTGGACTGTAGATCAGGTTTTGCTGTGATACCTCCAGGCTTTTTCTCATCTCTTATAACCCTCAAACACATCTACACTTATGGTTTTAGGAAGGGGGAAAGTGTGTGTGTGTGTGTGTGTGTGTGTGTGTGTGTGTGTGTGTGTGTGTGTGTGTGCATTTACCCTCCCCGGAGGAAGACAAGAATAAGAAGAGGAGGAGAAAGAGAAGACGCTCTTAGTCTGTCTGTCAGGCTATTTCTGACTGCTGCCATTTCTCTGATTAGATTATGGAGAAACAGAAACCTGGCCCTCCATCGTCCTAACCTCCCTCTCCCGCTATCTCGCTGCATTTCCCTCACTCAACCCTTCCTCTGCCTCCTGCTTCTCCACCGTCCTCTCTCTCTCTCCCCCCTTCCTTCTTCCTTGTCTGTCCCATCTGTCCATCTCTCCCACTTCCTGCTGCTCATAAAGATGGACAAAGTCCAAGATGCAGGCGAGATACAAAAGGTAAACCTGTGGGGGAGGGGTTACAAGGGAAGATGTGCATGTGGAGGGGCTCCCGGTAGCTCTGGGGTTCAAAAACAACAACAACAAGAACCCACCAGCATGGACTGCACGTTGCTGTCCAGGATAAAGCTTTTACACAGAGAGTTTCTAATTCACTGAAGCTCAGCCAGCAGCAGCAAGGTGGAGGTGGTGAATGATAAACGACTACTAGCGGCTCTCCAATTATCATATCTGTCCCTGCTCTTAACGGGGGATTTTCATCCGTGTCCCTCCGCGCTTCTCTCATCTCTGCCTCTCCTGCCCTCGCTCATTGTGCTCCCCTAGGAAAGCGATCGATTTCACCTCCATTAGGCTACCTCAGTCCACTCAGCTCTTAGTCTGAAGATGCTCCCCATTCATGCAAAGCAGCGCAGTTACCACTGCCAGCACAGCACCGGACCTCGCATGTTCGTTAAAGTAACACTGCTGGATCTCTTCCTGTTAACCCCTGACGCCGTGGAGGGTTCGGTGGAAGGGATGCTCGCACCGGCCCGTTACCGTAAAGCAATCACGTGACAGTCCCCTGGGAGAATTAGCATAAAAGACAAATAAAGGACCCCACCAAAAAACCCATCTCTGACACACACACACACACACACACACACACACACACACACAACCACACCCACACACACACACACACACACACACACACACACACACACACACACACACACACACACCAGTATGTCCTCCTTTCTTTTAAAGAAAAGGAACAAATCCATTCCGCCTAATTCGAACCTTGCTCAGGGACAGCTCGCGTGGCAGATTGCAGCCTAATTAGTTTAGAGGGAATTTAATTCAATTAACTTTCCACAGCTCCGCGCGCCCCGCCGCTGGGCTGCTTTCAGAGCGCGGGGCCAGAGCTCGAGATCTAATTAGCGTGTTTGGAGAAGCTCTCCTGCGCGCGGCCATCCCTCGCCGCTCCAGCTGTGGTGTGCTTGTATCTGTGTGTATGTGTGCGTATGTGTGTGTATGCGGTCTCCCGGGACCTGGTTTTTATCCTAAAAAGCTTCTTTTTTAAGTAACATGCCGTTATCCATTAGGATAATACAGGTCTGGTGCTGCAGCAGAGGTGTACGCAGCTTGTGAATAACCGCAGCTGCTCTGCGTCATATTCTGCCTGATGAATGCGCGTTCACTTCAGGTTAGAGCGGACTTAAATAATAATGAGCGTAATGTGATGGGTTAAAATTAATGGCCATGTTTCGAGGCAATTTTTTTGGCAACTCCGTCCTGATGAGCCTTTGTGCCGGACAGCCATTTTTGGCTCATAAAGGTTTGTCTCAATCTGTCCTAGTCGGAATAGAACCTGACAAGAACGTGGATTTCTGACTGTGCTGCGCCAAATTCCACCGGGTATCTAAACGAATATGCTGCTTTTTTAGTGCACTTACTAGCACCCTGTGGTTTTTCCACCTGTGCGCACATTTTATGCGCAAAAATTCAGATTTTATGAAGCCATTTTCCGTCATATGAAGACAAAGCACAGATCTTTGTCAGTAGCGGTGCAGTTAATTAAGGAGCCATGTCTTTACCTCTCGGCCTGTTTACTCACTGCACTCGCCACATAAATGGGACAATGCGCACTGAAAATTAGCTCGATTTAATATTTCAAAACTATTTGACTATATTCTTATTAGATCTATTTTCTCCTCTAGAGTAGACTCCACACCAGACTGTGATTGTGATCTAGCACACAAGCACCGGCTGACTGAGGACTTAACCGTAACTTGCTGCCTCTCTAACGCAGTTAGACGCGCGCTATCGTCTCTCGCCGGAGCGTCACGGTATATTCGGGTAATTGGGGACTGATATGCGGAGACAGCCTGCACCGACGGGACCCCCACCCGGGGGGGCCCACCAACCCCCTCCCATCCAGCTCCGTCTCTCATCCATCACCTTGCAAATCAAATGTGCACACCGCCAGCCTCGATTGCGGCCGTGAAAACGCAGGCCGATGTTAACGGCAGGATCCGCGAGCTCTGATTTTATTTTATCCGCAATCAAATCGACCTCCGAGGGAAGAGGATCTTAAGAGGGGCGATGACACGACACATTTTAGTCACACTGCAGGTAGCAGACCAGCTGCTCGGCCGTTTTGACTACACAGTCACATTATGAGCAAATGGGGGGAAAATACAAAAGTAAATAACAATAATCACGAATCCTGAAAATCCTAGAAGTACTCTTTACCAAAGGCAAAACAATGCACTGATTGATTGATTATTAGTTACATAAATCACTGTTGGGACATTTAGAATTAGGGACAAAGAGCTACAGACAGATGATTGCTCAGTTAGCAGCTGAGTATTAAAAATATGGAGACACTTGGTGATACAACGCGCGTAGACTTCTGTCCAAAGAACCCACGCACGTTTTAAATCACACTAACTTTTATTTTTACAGATAAGTGTTCATATTAAAAACAACGATTTACTGCAACACATTCCTTTAAAAGCAGAATTGTGAATATTTGTTGAAACGATTACATTAATCCGCGTGTAATTTCACATTAAATCAGGTCAGCGTGACCAGATCCCAACAAACTAAATGTGGGACCCGTTTACCAACTCTCTTGCTAAGTAAAAACAAGAAGAATAGAAAAAGAAGCTGAAGTTTGCTCTCATGGTATCATGTAATGGTTTTATATACTCCTGTATATCCTGGGTTTCAGTGGGGATGCAGCCATAGATTGGCAGAACGTATTTGACTCATATCTGACAATTTCAGCCATTTTTAGCCAGTTATCACATGCATGCTGCTTCATTCTCACCAAATTTTCTACTTTGCAAAATAAAGATAAAGGAATATCTTGACAATGAAGATAACAAGCTAAAACAAAAGGGGGGGGGGG